TAGGTTGTATTCTTCTCGAAACTGAATAATTAATTGAAATCAATTAAAATAACTTTATTTTTTGAGTCTATCTGAAACAAAATCTAATATGGAATAAGACTTCTTTTGTATTTTTTTAACTTATTTAATTTAAAAATTTCAAGTTTCTGTTAAAATGGTTTCCATATTTAATAATTGTTTCTATATTTTATTTAAAAAATACTATAAAAAATAATATTTTTTGATTGATAATTACAAATGTGGTACTGAGGTTTCGACTAATAATTAATATTTTTTATAATATTGTATAAATTAAATATAAGAGTTATATTTATACGTTTTTTTGAAAATAATTAAGAACCATGTTCATTATTATTCAAATAGTATTTAAATAATAAAACGAAACCTTAGTATTCGTCGAAACTTTAGTATCATATTTGTAATTATATTATCAGTCTAAAAACAGTAATAGTAAATTTTTAGACCATTATAACTGTAATTTTTCGGGAAACTGTTGAAAAAGCTCCAAAAACACTATTTTTGATTTTATTTAGTTTTCTAACTTTTTTCTAATTCCTATTTTTTAAGGCTTATTTTGTGTATTTATTGTGTCAAGTGGACAACTATTTACAAACAGACTTTAGTAAAAGACTAAATATTAAGAATATGGTTATTTTTATTAATTTTTGATAATTATAATAAATCAAAGAATATTCTTCCCAATTCTTAGCAAAACCTACAAATAGACAGCTTTTTATGCAAGAAAACCCACAAATAAGCGACTTTGACTGTAAATAAAAAAGAAAACAAAAAAAATATTATTTAAAAATATGATTATCTAAAATATTTTATTCAATGTCTAAACTGATGATTCGCTTTCACTCACTTCTTTAAGAAGCGTATTCTCATATTTGACTCAAACAGATATCGAGCCATTTATTTATATATCACACAAATGGTAAATCGATAGAATCGTTAATTACCAATCCATGGTCCAAAAATTCCAACAATTGTTCTGATTCAATTGTCCGAAAAATGTTAAAATATTTTCCGAAACTTGAAGTGCTGACAATTGACCCAGATAATACTAATAATCTGTCTGATGTTACATTGAATATGTTTAAACATATTCATTTATTGATAGAGAATCACAATCCTGTAACTTTGAAATACTCAGTAAATAAAATATGTGACACTGTTTTTAATGTTAGTGGTAGAAAACCAAGTTCTCCAATTACCAACGTTGTCAGAGTTTATTTGAATGAACAATGTGACGAATTTGGTTATCTTGCAGACAACATTGATGATTACCCCAATCTTAAATTTGTTGAATCCACAATTGCCATTAATTTTATTGGAGAAAAATCCATAAAAATGATATAAAGTGTTGGTCAAGTTACAATACATGTTAAATTGTATGTTAATAATGATTATGAGTTTGATATAATCGATAATTTAAGAAGTCGTGTTTACAACACCAACACACACTTCAGTGTTGATACAATAACAACAAATGGTACTTATTTAATGATTCCTCCAAATATGAAAGTTACAGACTTACATAACATATTTTATGATAATGGAGAAAAGGTAAATCAGTTGTATGCGATCACTGAAGCAAATATCAATGTTAATAAATTCTATGACGCCGATTTTAGTGCTTTAACTTGTTTGACTAAATTTACTTTAAAAGGTGGGAAATGTAGTGTGAAATTGCCAACTTCACTTGTCGAGCTTACTCTTTATGGGAGTTCAAAGGCAGTAAATGTGAATGATTTGAAACAACTTAAAAAGTTGAATGGAAATAACTTTGATAATAATAACCCAGCCAATACTCCTTGTCAAGCTGTTGACGAAAACGAAGAAAATGAAGAACAAAAGTGGTCTTATGACAGAACAAATTCTTGCAATGATGATGACTACGTCAGAGCGATGAGGGAAGAACAAGGACCAATAGACTTACAACCCAACTGGTAAGTTATTTTTTCAGTCGTTTCATTACATACATAATTATATATATTATATTTAATATTTCAACAAAAGATAATTTAAAATTTAATTTATTTTAACATTTTTTAATTCAATAATCAAACAGTATTTGCTTGTGAAAGAAAAAATGTCAAA